TCAAAGGGAAGCACTCCTGGGGTACCCTCTAACTGAGCCATGTCCGGTCGTCCCTCTGGAAGGGCAACTCGTGTCCAGTGCGAATAGCTGTGTTGTGCAGTGCCTAGGTATGCTCTCCATCCTGTGATGTGTGTGATTGCAAAACCCCGTTGCTGTAGCAGTTTGATGTCTTGGTTAGACGGGTTCCATACGCAAAGCCGGTCATCTGCATGGTGAATGAGGTGTACCTGTCGGAGCTGGGACAGTCTGTGTGCCGTCAGTAGCGATGGTGGCAGAGCAATGGCTGCTAGCACGGTTTTGCCTTCAATATCTGGGAATTCTGTAAGGATGGTTTCCCATACCATTCCTGCATACGAGCCAGCGCTGTGGCCTCGAATGAAAAGAGACCCTACCATGTACCCGGTTAATCTGAGATAGTCTACTGGACGGATTTCAGGGGGCAGGCATACCCCGACCAACGGATGCGCAACTAGTAATTTAGTAAAGATGAGGCGTGATGCGACCCTCTTGCTCGGTCAACCTCCTTTGTTTCTCCACGAATGGTATTTTGCGGGAAGGTTCTGTGTTATCGCCGACTGTAGTCTGTGCTTTCAAATCGGCTTACCACCGTGCTGGCTTCAAAATGAAGCCGTTTCACGTATGCTACTTCCCTAATAGTCGTAAAAATCTTATCCGTGAAGGCTTTCATGTCTGCATCGTTCACTGACTCTTGCGGAGTCCCCACTGCAAATGCCAATGAGGAGAAAGTATTGATGGACTGGGCGTGGAATAGGTCCTTGAGTCCTACCTCCAGGCTTGTCACATCTCGAATCAAAGGCTGCTTCTGAATCAATCAACGACATTGCGACGCAGATTAGGGGTCAAATTGCAAAACCTTTCAAACACTTGCTGCACATGAAAATGATTCAAACAATTCAGAAAACACATTGCACTGGATAATCCAGGTGTGATCCAGTGGGTAGAAAATTCTGGGTGGATTAGCCACGCTGCGGCAGGATTGGGTTGATTCCACTCCATGCTTGTAGTGAGTCCCAACTTTGCTCTGTCTCTGTCAAAACAAACTTGAAGAAAACCGTTGATAAGGAACAAATCTGTACTTCACCCTCTACAGTGGCCTAACTGTGCCCACCAACTAGGCAGCTTGTTAGCCTCGATTTTTTTCCCTTTGTATACTGAGGTCGGAACGGTCCCATGTAGGTCAATTTCAGCCCAACACCACCAGGGGTTTGCTTCCAGTTTGGCTCTCTTCCAACTGATGTTGGGGCACCATGCTTCTCGGATATCAAACGCCCACAGTTCAACACCCTCCGATTCTGCAGCTCCTGTAAGTGGAGTGTCTTCAACTTTAAGCGTTGCAAAAGGCGATATCCTTCTGGGATCTTTGGAGGTCTCATTTCCCTGTGAGTGTAGCTCAACTCAGCTGCATCCTCCTCTGACCCCGAAGAAGTCGTATGCCACGTCTAGCATTTCCACACCTGGGTCGTAGAGACGGCTTGGTTCCTTCCCAACTTCGTGGTAGGGAGGTTCGTCGCCTTGAAGAGCGTACACACCTGAGCCACCAAACAAATCTGGACCAGGGCTTTTTGTAGGTGAGCCGAAAGAGGGCCCGTCCAAAAAAATCGGACTGCCCTGCTCGTCCCTGTTCACCGGCTCGAATTCCTCGACTGTGTGTATATTCCCTGATCTTTCAGGCTCTACAAAACGGCCTGATCTTGTTCGATCTGGAAGGAATTCACCCAGTCTGATTGCATCTAGTACACTTCCCAAGACATAGAGCGGTCTTGCAAGAGCATCCCGGGAGTAGATGATCGGAGATTTCAAATGAGCCACATGACCGCCCAAAACACAACGGTCATCCAACAAATGCCATATTTTGCTACCCAGGAAAGTGCTGTTGTCTTGCAGGAATGCGATGTGTAACGTCGCATAGAGGGGAGGTGGTGACCCCCCGTACCCTAGGAGGTGTAACAGGGGGGTAGGTGGTGCCCCGTACGCTAGAAGGTGTTGGGGGGGGAGGTGGTGACCCCCCGTTACCGTAGATGGTGCGGGTGGTGGCCCCCCCGTACCCTAGAAGGTGTTAGTGGGGAAGGTGGTGACCCCCCGTACCCTAGAAGGTGTTGGGGGGGGGGGAGGTGGTGACCACCTGTATCCTAGAAGGTGCGGGGGGGAGGGAGGTGGTGACCCCCCTAGAAGGTGTGGGGGGGGGAGGTGGTGAACACCCCCCGTACCCTATAGAAGGTGTTGGGGGGGGAGGTGGTGAACACCCCCCGTACCCTATAGAAGGTGTTGGGGGAGGTGGTGAACCCCCGTACCCTAGAAGGTGTTGGGGGGGAAGGTGGTGACCCCCGTACCCTAGAAGGTGTTGGGGGGGGAGGTGGGGAGGTGGTGACCCCCCGTACCCTAGAAGGTGTTGGGGGACCCGTACCCTAGAAGGTGTTGGGGGGGGAGGTGGTGAACCCCCCCCACCCCAAAATCACGGAACCTTCTTTTGCTTGCTCTCTGACGGGTTGCCCCGTTGACCCCTCCTCGAGACAAGTCCCCAAGTCTCTAAGAGGTTCACCGACCTTGCCTGTTGCCCCGTGTCATCACAGGGTGTTGCTACCCTAGACAGAAGGTAAGGTGAGACCCGTCGGTCCCGTACCACGTGTGTACCGATCGGTCCGGGAGAACCCCGAGATACCGCACGATCACCCAAGGATGTGCGCAAACACAAACGAGGGTGTGACATGAGGAGCAACCCAACATGTCAACACACGCCGACTAGGGGGTACCAAGGTACCGTCTTAACTCACGCTTCGTTAGGGACGGGGGCCTTCAGCAACTCCCCTGCGCTGTAGACAAGTTTAACGCCCCCCCGGACCCTCACGGGTCCACCTCCCCCTGTTCTGGGCATGGTGTTGGGGACCCCATCCCCCTACCCACCCAGGCCATCCAGCCACGCATGAACTCTGCTTCTCTTTCCGGCACCGGGTCAGCTTGATGGGCTCCCGTATAGCGGCGTAACACTGCTCCGATGAGATCCAGTCCCTGATCAGCAACCTGGATAGTCCAAGATTGTCCATCTCTGAGCTGCGCTGGCGGTCCAAACTGGACCGGGGCCGTGTTGGCTAAAGATCGGCATCTCGGCTCTTGGAGCTCTGTGCGCTCCCACATGCCAAGTAACATAACTACCTGACGATCCGTGAGTGGCGAGGGCGCCAACTTGGCATGCAATCGCAGGCCAATCACCGGTAGAAAGTTAGAATGCATCCACTGAGGCCTCCATTGGGCAGTGCCAAACAGAGCTGCCGCCAGAGGTAGCCACCCGCGGTGCGCCAGCTGCTCTTCAAGCCTCTCTGGCACCGACGCTTTGCGCTTGGACCAAAGCCATGCAAGATCGCTGGTCTCATATAGCCTGGCTCAATTTCCATAGCCTGGTATATTTTATCACCCGGCAACACCTTGACTGTGACATCCCCCGGCAGGAGGCTCAGAGTGGGAAATGCTCCTTGTTCGTAAGCAGGGCGCGCCCATTTGTGGAAGTTTGGTTGGCAGCCTTTGTATCCCTCCAGGATACCTCGAAGGTGTCCATGTCCGGGCCACACTCCTGAGGCTGGCACTAGAAAGGTCACCCTACTAGACCACTGGCCGAGGATACTCCAGGCATGACACCAGTCCGCCGAGCAGGACGTCCACGTGCCAAGCAGGGGAGAGCCAAGTAGCCCGCTGGATTGGTTCTATTCTGGTTGTTTGATGCCTTTGTGTAGATTTTACTTCAATGAAATCCTATGAAACCAGGTAGTGTTACACGCCTTATTAACTATGGGTGAACCAAGATTTTGGCCGCTGCTCACATGACCCAGGGCCAATGTGCCCCCTAAAGCAATCGTTACCTAGTCTTTCCAAGAAAAGAAATCTGCAAGGGGTCAGAGAAGGCGAACTCCCGCCAGCACCTGACAACAATGCCTGGCTCTTATTAGTGGCGCTTCCTAGGATTGGCCAACCCTCTACTCAGGCCGCCTTGCCGACGTACTTCCCGCCAGTGATGCTGATGCTCTGCCCCAACTCCATCGCGGCGAAGCGTTCGGTGATTACAAGAAGACACGACAAGTAAACCATGACCATAACCTGTGTGCTGATTGTTTCGACTAGAATGCGTCCCTGGTTTTTGCATTCCAAATTCATTGTTATTGTTCAGGGTTATTTTTTGTCGCTGTAACCCCTTTTGTAAAACCACAAAAAAACAGCAAACATTGCAAATTTCAGTCCGTCAGGATGGTGAGTTTTTGAGTGGTTTAATCGAACCCAGGATTCAACGGTATCCGTCGTGTGAGACACGCAAAAAAATAAATTGAACTCTTGGTGTTTTTGCGGTTTTGTTGTCTCCGGGATTCAGTTGTGCAAAAACAACAGGCAATTTGTTGGGCCGCAACTGGATGTAATCCCACCCAGTGAATTTTGCTATTTCAAACAACTATATTTTGAAGTGTCCAATTTCAATACGACATCGAAAACTTTGGAAAACGTCAAAAAAGTCAGAACATGTGTGTCTTGTTGTTTGTGTGCTCTGGTGGTGTCGTTCGTTTTTATTGGATGTCATTCAAACAAAAATAAACACGATGAAAAAAACACATTGCACCTTATATAGAGTCTTTGATTACGTTTACATCAATCCCATAAATCTGTCCATACGGTTTCTGTTCTTTGTCAGTGTTGTCCCCCCGAACACACCGCAGTGAAACAGAAACAACTTGCAATATTTTTGCGGAATACAATGCAGGATTCCATGTGATGTTTGTTTTTGGGCATAGCACCATGGCACCATGGGATGAATTGGATTTGGATGATTTGGTATTATGGTCAATGTTGAATTTACGGGCAAATTGGTCGTCTGAAGGACAACTGCACACACCGATCATTGATGGGGAATGCTACTTGTTATTGCCGTACTCTTCATTTTTGTAGATTTTGCGGTTTTGGTTTCATTAGTTTCCACAGTTTTCTGTTGACAACTGTTTGCAATGGGAGCTTCCATTGGTTGCAGCGAGTGCGTCACCAGCTGTTGCCTGAGTACATTGTGCGTTGGTCTCTTTGAAATTTATATTTGGATGCGAAAACGATTTCAGCACGAATTCCTTTGACTTCTGTGTTTGTTGAGGTCGGGATGATTCGAATAGCGTGATGACAAGGTTTGCGTCTTACGCGTTTGTGTGTCTGGGATTTTGTTGAAAACAACAGTGTTGATTTTTGGGTTTGCATTGCGCAGGTGCATGGACAGCCCATGGACTTCAAACAAATCCAACGTCATTACTGCGGAAGACTTGATCCTCGACAAACACTAATTTTTGTTTTGAAAACTGGAAAAAATATCACATGGCGTCAAGTGCATGGGATTTGCCAATAGTAGAACATGACAGCATGCGTCCTCACGCGTGCTTGAACTGAGGAATTTAGCCTTTGGCGCAATGCAACAAATCCAAGAAACCCAGGCACTTCGCGTCGATATTGCCGAATCCCCATGTTTCAAACATGTTGCCAATGTTGCCAGCATTGTCAACGTTGCCACTTTGTCAGGTTCATGCCATAGCGCCCCCTGCATTGGTTTGCAGATCTAGGAGACCATTGAGTCTGAAGAAAACCTCCAGAGGGGAAAAAAACGATTGAACATGCGATCAGGACGGCTGCATCCCCCAAAGCGCGACCAGAATCCAAGGTGCACGCAATTTTGTGTCCATGTGGGCAGATTGCACGGGTTGCGACCATTGGTTTCCCAGGAATTGGAAATGGAAAATATCGCCATGTTGCAGCTTTCCAATGGTGCTCTCTACGAGGTTGGAACTGCAGTTGATTTTATTTATTATGAAATAGAAACTGTTTTGCCTAGGGGCACCTGGAAGACTTCAAAGCACATGGCAGAGGGTTGCTTTGCTATGCAAGTGGTCGACTTCTCAGATTCCAATTTTGGCGTGGGTTTTTCATGGCTTTCAATCTTGGATGGGAAAACTCGCTGGTCAGACTACATACAAATGGTTTTCCAATATCTTTGCAGAACTGGAGGCAACAGATACGATGGAGACTTTGTTTTAGACCAAGCACATGGCTATGGTTGCTTTTTGTGGAAGGCGGGTAGGATGTCTTTCTGATGCGCCCTGAAGCGTGAAACCAGTTTGAAATATATTGATTGGCAGGACGGATCCATCTACGAGGGACAGTGGTCAAGGAATTTGCAGGCAAATGACATCAAATGACATTTGCTGAGGAATTGATTTGAACTGAAGAATTCATGCTTTGGGTCGAATCGCTTGTTCCGTCTGGGCTGTGTAGATCGCTGCACTTTTTTTGCTCTTGCAAGCTGCTGCAAGCTCATCAAAGGCACGTATCCTCTCGCAGGAGCTACTTTAGAGGGCATTGGTAAGACAAGATTTGTATACATTTGTGGCATCAACGTCAATTCACAAGGGTCTGAGATACCACACGGAAACATTATGAAACATTGCACCGTCATGGCATGGCCACGGCCTTGAGTTCATTTCTCCGATGGTGGCAGCTTTGCCGCTGGAAGCTTTGTTGCTCTCGGCGGTGGAGAGCAACCATTCATGTCAAGGCCAACTCATGCCATGGTTATCGATATCAAAACTGGAAAATGCTGATGCAATGAACATTTTGCCATGAAAACAGTATTAGGGATTCTATTATATTCTATTATATTGTATTATATTCTATTATTTCTATTATATATATTCTATTATTTCTATTAATTCGTTTTTTTCCTATTATTTTTGTTATATTATATATTATATTCTATTAAATTACATTCAAGAATATTCCATTCTATTATATTCTATTATATTCTATGCACAAACCGAACCTATTGTCGATATTGTTTCGGATATCTTAGCCGTTGAACGCTTTCACTTGCAATTAGTTCAGGTATCTCCTGGATCGCCGTCGAGCACATTGCCAGTGCCAGCTGGTTCAATTCCTGGCGTCACCCGAGTTATGACAATACATGAGGGGAAGGTCTATGCAACTGAGCTTCCAAAAGATGCAACATATCCCCATGCAATGAGAGTGACCTTCGAAAACTTTAATCTGTTTTGCAAGGCCGAGAACAAGAGATCTATTGCGCTGCGAGCTTTAGTTCCAGGCGATGCCATACCAGGTGTGTCAAATACATATGCACGTGGGGAGTCACTGGTTGAGATCAAAGTTCCGAAGAATGCAAAACCTGGAGATACGCTGATCATCAACGCAAATCGACCGCAAGAGTCGCAGGTTCACTCCTTGAGTTTGGCAAAGACAGCAAAGGCAGCCAATCTAACGGTGGAACCAGATGAAGACATTCGACGACATGATTTTATGCAGCAACGCCTGAAAGAAAATGGAGGTACATGGAATCCAAAGATCGAGAGAGCCAGCACTGATCGATTGATTGTGCCTGGAATTGTGGCTACTGAGCCCATCTCCAAAGGTGAGGTCCTGGTGAGGTGTCCTCCAGAGTTATTTATTTCCTCAGAAGCAGTTCGGCAGATGGCCCCTGCATATGCAATTCTCGCTGCAGAAGCAGCGAACGAATTAACTTTTGATCGTGGAAATGTTGACTGGGCGCTTCAAGCAACTTTTCTGGCCAGCATGATGGCAGCTGCCGAAGATGCCAGAATAAAGGGTCCGAGCATCCCAGAAGCGAAGAGAGAGGTTTGGGAAGCCTTTCTGCAAGTTCTCCTTTGCGAGACCTTTACGCAACATCCCTACAGGCTTGCAGCAGAAGACCCTGCAGCCTTCAAGTCTTCATTATTGCCATCGTGTGAAGCTGATTTGATTGAATATTTGGCCTGGACGGTGTTGCAATGGTATGACATACTCACTTCTCACTCTTCCTACGCCGCTTCAAGCGCGTCCCTCCAATTTTCAGCAGAGCAGTTTCTTCGAGCTTGGCTTCTGGTGACAACTCGTGCTTTTGATGTAGATGGCACACGCACGACACTGGTGCCGGGCCTTGACTCTTTCAATCATGATCCTTCTCGGGCCTCTGCGCGCGCTGCTGCAGATGGGAGAGGGGGTCTTTACATCGTCGCAACTCGAGACATCGAAGCTGCTGAGGAGGTCTTTCTCCTGTATCAACAGTTTTCAAACTCAGAGCTCTATAGGAAATACGGCTTTACATTGCCTATGGAAGTCTCTTGGCCTGGGTCCAACTCGTCTAAATAGATAAATTGAATAAATAGATTTGAGCAAGCAGAGAAACATGTATAATTTTGTTGCATAAGACTCATAAGATACATGTTCATAGTATCCATACACACTTTCAAGCGACCAGTCATACTACATTGCTATGTTGGGACATACAATACAATATCTGGGCTGGTGAAGACCATTAAAGAGATGGGAATAGTGAAATGCTGGAGATTGCTCGCCTTGTTGCAGCTTTCCTGTGGACATCACCGACAGAGGTTGACAGCTACAAAATCAGGAAGGCTTTTCTCCAGTAAAAACAACGATAACGAGGTGAATCAAAGTGCCCAACGCAGGACTTCTCAATCCGATTCGTAGATCGAACAGGTTTTTTTTGATATTTGGATGAGGCATCACACGATAAAAACCACTTGACACAGAAACAATCATGACATCACACCATAAAAACGAAGGGAACTATCACAGCACTTCTCGCTGAGGCAATGAAGCACCAAAGCTTCACCGTGTTACCCAGCAGAGTTCGCTTCTTGCTGCTGAAGTATTTGCCAGTGAGCCATGCTGGACTACTCATTGAATTCCACAGTGCCATGCTGCATCCAACACTGGTTGCTGCCATCAAGGCCATGGATGTCAGTGCATTCGTGGTTCGACATTCAACGATAGAACCATTAGGAACGACATGGAACGACTAGGTAATACAATAGGTAATACAATAGGTAATACTGCAACAGCAAATTTCAGAACACTTTCAGGCCTGCGCCGCCAACGGCAAGAACTACATCAATTTCCTGCGTGAATTGCTGCAGTTCTTTGCGGAAGCTTATGAGCGCGACCCTGAAATGCAGGCCGAGTGTTTATCAAACTGGGTTTTGAGTACTGGCCGTGTTCCGTGTGTTGTCTTTCTTCCAGGATGCGATGCGATCAAAGACAGCCACGGAAGATTTGCTTCGCGTGAAGTTGAGTTATTCCGTTGCAGATGGTAAAGTTTCATTTTTTTAAATCATCTTTATGTGCTTTGGTAGGAACACAAAGACGCCAAGTTACAGCAAAACTATCAGTTGCTGTGTAGCTTTGGCACAGCAGTGTCACTGCGAAACCAAGGTGAGTATCGGTGCCTGCAAAGGTATTTGAAGAGCCTGGATGATCCAACAAATGACTTGAGCGCAATGCTGCACAGAGTAGCCGAGGAAAATGACATTTGCCCCGGTCTTTGCATACCTTATGGTCAAGCCTGCCTTTTGCTTGGACATGTCTGGAACCATGTCTGCATTTGCTGATGCGTGTGCCGTGCTGGTTGTAATGTTACCTGTTACCCCTGGACAGGATGGGATCGGCAAAGAAATTTGGAGTGATGGATCTGGCTTTGAAGGTTCCTTCAGGCCGTGTTCATGGAATTCTTCTTGTGAAACCTACAGTATGAACGCTGGCTAAGAATTCATGGAGCATGGAGAGTTCTGGTCCGCACTTGCTTTTGAACCGCCCAGGGAAGGGAAAAAGAGTGGTGTCGGCAAGGCAGTGCTCAAGATCCCATGAATTTGCTGTTTTAGATGCCTTGAAACCAAACAACCAGATAGAAACGGATAGGAACGGAGACAGAACTCGATGCAAATCAGTAGATTCAACACATAATGCTTGAGGTCTTGCCAGAAGCCTTTGACGTTTGCGAAACTGATGCGTCAGGTGTGGTGGCCAGAGGGCTGCTATGAAGGTGATATTGATGGCGGCGAATTGGAAGGACAAGGCTTCACTAAGTTGAACATAGTCCATCTAATTGGAGATTTGCACTTTGAATGTAGTCCTTGTTGTCTTGCACTTGCAGGTACTTTGACCTGGAAAGACGGCACTTCCTACTGTGGGGGTTGGGTCTGATGCTGAGTCAAGACAACTTTGGGGTTGGGATCTTCCTCTGACGTGACCAAGGTGAAAAGCCAAAAGTCAGGAAAGGGTGTGATGAAATGGCCAGATGGGCGCTGGCACAAAGGCACCTATTTCAAGGAGGGCACTACAGAATCGGGTGCATTTGTTTGTTTGCTACCTGTGTTTGGTCGCTCTTGGAGTATCTGATGGAGCAGGACAAACGGCATGGCCGAGGCTGCCTTGCTTGGTGCTGACCCTAATGCAGTTTTCTCAAGTAGACATGTATTGATCAAAAAAGCAACAGGTCCACCCCTACATAGCTCGTTCTTTGCAGATCTTTGTGGCAAAAGGATGTCTTCCAGGTTGTATCAATCGATCTCACCTGTGTCACCTGTGTTTCAGAAGCGTTTCAGAACCGTTACCCAGATCTCCATGGATTGATCTGCAGTTTGACGCCCACTTTCTACATTGTTTTCCGGCCATTGTCATTGTGAGGCCTGATGGCCGGCAATACTGTGGAGAGCCAGAACTGCTCAGAACTGCGATACGACGGTGTCGTCACTACTTGCTGAGTTTTTGAGTTTGGAGGGAGCAAATTCTGCATCTCCCAGGGATGTCCCTGTGCCAAGTTAAAATGAACCACATATTGGGAAGGCTAGTCGCACAGGGTCAATGAAGTGGACAGTGGACCACGGCAGAAGTGGCGAAAGTGGCTCATTTTGCCAGTCGCTGCAACTCAGGTTCCTAGATGGCAAGCAACATGGCTTCGGGTGTAACTTGGCAGCAGAGGTTTGAACGTGCGATGTGCTTAACGTCTTCGATCAACCTTTTCGCAAGACTTTTCCCACCATTCTGAAGATTTCCCAACCGTTTCGCATGCCAAATATCCAGGTGTTTTGCACCGAAGTGGGACCGTCCGCGAGGGCTCATATCTCAGACGGCTCATGGATCACTGGATCACTGCTGTCTCCGCAACTTTTGGGCAGACTGAGGGGAGTGGCGCTGTGGCAAGCGCCTTCGTTGGTTGTCTGAGGCAGCCTGCTTATGGGAAGTGACTAGTGACTAGTACAACAAGTATACAATAATTATATTGGTTCTTATATGAATTGTCCACTCATATATTATTCTTAAATGTATATTCTTCTTCCATCAGTGTCCTTCCGTCTACACACGTCCATCCCTTCCAGTTCATTCCGATGCTACTTGCAAGGAAAGGACGCCAGCACATGAGGACGGTTTCGAACTCTCCGATCCCAAACCTTTCTGTGTTGAATTCAGTGGCTGATTCTTCTTGATGCAATTAGCCGGTGACCCGGTCACACTTTGTTCTTGGGGAAGCTCATTGAGTTATTCCAAGAGATAGGTCACAGGATTTCAGAGGTACAAAGATACCTCTAAGAATCTAAGCAAACGCTACTGTTGCCAAAGATGCATCAGCACTTCCATTTGAATGTAGTTCAGATAGTTCAGTTTGAGCGTGAAATCTGAATACGCAGCTGAGCACGCGAAAAGAGTGTTGTGCAAAGTGCTGATAGTTCCTCCCTGTACCATGGATTGCCTTAGCTTCATAACTCTTACAGACAGGGTCTGACACCAATCTGAGTGTCTGCTGGAAAGTTTGCAGGCTAAGCTCAAACTCACATATTCATACATAGTCATTATTTTGGAGCTCACTTGAAAATGTTGTGATAATTTGTTACGATGTGTTACGGTTTCACTCTTTTCAGCTTGCTTTGCGTTTCGCGAAACACCCTTCTGCTTCTTTCTACGCCATGGCAGCGGGGTTTCGAAAGTTGCGCAGCGGATTCGATTTGTCTTTTGAAGACACTGGAAGAGTGAAGGAACCACAGATGGTTGCGGACAAAATGTGGATCTATAGAGCCCAATTTCTCCCCGAATCACTGATCATGAAGTTATAATGGAACATATTATGGAACAAATGGGACCCTGCTCAACTCAGAAGATGCCATGTCGGAAGCAGCAGCCATGAGATGCAGGTGCATACACCATGGGCTCAATCCAAGGTTCTCATGCAATCTATGCGTTCCGAATTGCCACACATGTTCGGATTGTTCTCCGGTATTGTGATAGAACGTGAGGTACAGTGCGCACTGTATTGATGTGATTCGATGCACTTCTGGACTGTGTTGATCCTTGGCAGTTTCAGAGATTGTTTCTGCAGTTTGCTGCCCACTGAGCAAAGCATTTGGCAGGTGCACCGCAGGTGGTGTATACCTCCTCTCCATACAGTGACTAGTGAGTGAATGCAGATCTGGTTGACTTCTAGGCTGATCTTCAACTGAATATCCAGGCATCCAGGCAGGTTTTTTTTTCCCTCATTGAGTTCCATGGAGTTCCACCTGCGGAGTCATCAACCACGATCCAACAAAGAAGTGGATCATGTGAAAGTTTACCATTTCTCTCTCGGTATGCTTCTGGCAAAAAGTCACAAGCGTACTGATTTTGCGCGCTTGCAAACTCAGTGCTCAAACAATTTGTTGAAGGACATAGTGCGTTTTTTGGAGGCATTTCTCCATTCGTTCTAGGTTGAGGTGGCTTGTCAAGCATTCGAATGCATAGAATGAAGGCTTCGTGTTGATTTCCCACGGTTTGCCTTTTTTTGCTGGACCTTTCGTATTGATCACTTTGTGGATGTGTCTGGATGTGGCAATTTGAGATTGAACAACATTTATATACATGTTTTTTTTTTGTACGAACGAGACTCAAGACAGACTCTTCATTGAATGACTGTTTGACATTTTAGTTCAGAAATGTGGGCCAGCAACTATGTACCACAATTGGTGTCTCAAAGTTAGCTTCACAACAGTAAGAGACCTTGCACATGTTTCAAGGTTGAGCAGGACATACCAAACTGGTATGAGTTTAAGACAACGAGACTCTTCAGCTTGCCTGCGCGTGCACGAATAGTACACCTTTCAACACATGCAGGATCGAACGCAGCCATGGCTGTGTTGTTTTTGGTCACCACTGCTGTGGTGGCCTTCAACACATTGTGACCTTTCTTGACAACCCTGCATTTCTGTTGTAAGAGTCTATCATGTTCTATGTCCACTTTGGTTTTGTGATGACGGGAAACTTGTGAACATGCTTAAACTTGCATTTTCTAGAACATGTGATTTAGGCACATACACACACACACACTTCGCACTCTTCACTCACAGTCTGCTTGATTTTGGAGGACAGGCTTGTTGTTTCGAGCTTTAAGACATTGGCAAATTCAGCGCTCCCCTCTCTCTCTCTCTAGCCTTGAGTTGCAGGTACTTCAAACGCATGCTGAACTGCTACAAAAGTGAGAGTGAGCAGACTACTCAGGTCCTGGGCGGCGACGAACCATTTGCCTTTGACTTTTCATCGTAGTTTGCCGCTTGCATTTTGTTGATCATGCCGGTGGAGTTTGAGTAGGCTGAACTGTAGGGCAGGCATACCATATCTCAAAGGTCGACAGCTCCCAAACTGTGTTGTGACTCGGGAGCAAATGATTGCCGGGCAATTGGACAGTTGTAGATTGTAGATGCACATTTTCCAGACTTTTGGCAATTCCGTACTTCTATTGAGTCATTGAACATGATTAAACTCTACTTGGGACAGTCACGAATTGCGTCAGTTCTTTACCCTACCATTGACATTTTATCCCACAGCAGCCGCAGCGCATTGGATTACCCTTCCACTGATGACCATTTGGGCACGCGGCATGCGAGTTTCGCTTTGCTTAGTTCCAGAGGCAAATCCTTTCACGAAGAACTCACAAAGTTCATGGGACATGCGCTGAAATGTAGCGCCATGAATGCCATGAATGCTCGACTGGCCGGGCATCGGAAGGTGTGGCAGGCCTGTCTAGCTGCACATCGTGTGGTGTTAAGTTTGGAGTTGAAAGTCAGTGTCACAGAAGATTGCAAGAGGCTTTAGAGAGAGCTGCTAGGGAGGGTTCCGAAAGGCGAGAAATGCTCACATTTCGAACCAAAGGTTGCAAGATGTTGTAAGTCAGGAGGTACCATTTCCAGCAAGTTCTTGAAGGTTCCAAAAGCAAAGATTCAAAGCAACGACAATTTAACGATGTGTCTGTACATTTGGTTGGGGCAAACAGACCTATAGGGTTTGACTCTCAGCTCTCCGGGTCTCAAATAAACTTCCTGTCTCTTAGGATGTTGTGAAGACAGCTGGTTTGTTAGAAGCACCCTAACAGATGGGTTCTGGGGCGTTGCACTTTGATGCTTTTGCTGCCCTGACAGACGCGGTCACTTGCCCACCTTCAACTACATAAATAAACTACCATGATTCGCAATGATTCGCATGACTCATGGTGGACATGTTGCTGGAAGTCTGTGATTGGAGAAGAATCCAGTGGTGCTTTGTGACATGCTTTCGAAGGTTTTGCTGGCGGTTCTCTCGCTGTGACCCAAATCATTGCGGACTCAGCAGTATGTTTTTTACTTATTCTTATATATTCAAGGATGTATTCTTTCACAATGGCCTATCAGCGGCGCAACAGAAAGGAAATGTCACCTGTGAACAGTCTTGTCCGCGTCATTGAGAACGTGTGGAGGTACTTGAGCTTTGCCCCTGCAAATGTGGCCGCACAGCTTAGACAATTTCTTGCACTCTGAACAGCATGGCTTTGAGGGGCAATTTTTGGTATCAAAGCCATGACTTGATGATTGCTGCTGTACCCAGGTTGGCATCAAAGCACCACTGTTTCGTTTGCTCGGGTCCTAATCAGAAGTGGCATGGAGTCTTCTTGAAGCAAGATTGACAAATTGACGGACTCATCCAGTATACTGATACTGTTTTGCCGAATAGGGCAAGCTAAGCCTTGGGGAAGCTATGCAATGCTATGCATTTCTTGTCTTGATATAACAACATGAATTAGCTAGCAAAACTGTTTTAAAACTGGCCTTCCAACAGGAATTGCTAGTGAGTGCAAGGAGCCGTTGCAAAGAACAGCTGCCTCAAACAGTGGATGTGTCCTCAGTCGCTTGGCAAAGTCTCACTGGGACAGTGATTTCCGTGGCATTCCGGAGCTTAGACAGCAACGTAGACAGCAACGCAGAATCGTAGCGTCGATTTGGACAGCGCAGGTGCGACGGAAATTCATTCGCCTCCACCAGGCTGGGTGCATGAGGTCCCATTCACGACAAAATTGGCCTAAACAAGGCGAGTCATTTGTTGCTGCTGAAATATGGCAGGAATTCTAACCAGCTAAGTTTCAGATCCAGAAAACTTAGAGGACACAGGGGATGCTCTTAGTGTCTTAGTTTTGGCAGAAAAATGCTTGGCGGTGTAAAGGTCCTTAGATCATAAGTCATAAGACGTCTCCTTCTCACCTGAGTCTTCTCTCAATATATCTTCCACCGTCTGGCAGCCGCGAGAACCCATTCTGATTGAAAATGGTTCCGTCAGGAAGACTTCCAAGATGAGGCCCCCAAGGTCACTGAGGAGCGAGCTTCGCGAAGGCACGTCTCTTCAATGATTCTCATGGAGGAAGAAATTCATGGCTTGCAGACAGAACGACACATAAAGTCCCAAGGTTGAGTTTCATGATGTTTCATGTTTAATTTGCACAAATCCCATGAATACTGCGTACCATTGGTATAGGAAATACCTGAGCTTTGGTAGCTTTGTAGAACAACCTTCTGGCTTGTCCGGTCCACCTTTTCTTTGCCAAATGTCTTGGGCTTCACTCGGTTTAGTTACTGTGTTTCAACAAGGGCCATGACAAGCAAGATGCAAATTGTGTGCACACTTGCAGCTTTTGCTGGATCCTGGCCAACACCGGCCTGCCTGTGAATGCTTGCAGAAGAAGACAAGAGTCTTGTATTTTCCGTAATTTCGGCTGGGTTTTCACAGTTCTGGAGCTTTCTGCTGCACTTACCCCAAGATTTAGGCAAAAATTTGAGACCGTAGAGGAGTTCTGTTTCCTGTTCGCAGAAAATGACAAGGCGTCGCGATTGCCCAGTGTTCTTGAACAGCACAAGACTTTTTGGCCGGTAAAGATCATAATTCGCCTGCGGATTTTGTTGTATGGTGAACTACAGTTGCAGGATCTGGAGAAGTCAGGTGACAGGACGCTTTGGGCAATGCACGAGCAGGCATTGGCTTGCCTCGGGCCTGGGACAAGCACATTTTTTCAGGGAGGAGAATTTCGCAATACTGAAACATTGGGGATGGCTTTTATTCCAAGGGAGGAAATTGCCTCTTCGATTGGAACTTGGCAGTGTGGCAATCAGTGACATTTTTACATTTAAAGGACTTGACGTGACCTGACCCTGTCAGCTCGTTCGAACCTTTCAATTCGTTCAATTGGTTTGAGTGTCATGTCCTAAAGCGAGGCGTTGGTGGAAGCAATGGAGGATGGGTTCTTGCCATTTCCAGACCCTTCTGACAGATCTTCCTCACATTGTTTCACCTGCGAGTGGCCGAGACAGCGCAAATTCAATTCTGCAATAAATGTGGGGTCAAATTGCATTCTCGAAACGCAAAGATATCAAGGCTCTGGGCCTAGTGACCTCTTTCTCCACCACCTTGCAATGTGACTGACTGAACGGACGATATTTGAGATCATATCCGTGAAACAAGATGCTATCTGCCTAATCTGCCTCCAACTAAATTTGAACGAAAGGCAGCATGGTGATTCACATACCCTGTAACTATAGATTAACAAAATGGAGAACTTGCTTCGCCCTGTCCATCCCAAAGATGGAAGCAGTATTCAAGTGCCTTCCAGGATGGAAGCATTTTTTGGCAACCTCGTATCACTGGAGATCTTTCCTGGAAACGCCTGAGGCAAGGAATGCGAAATTAGTGGCTTTTGGTTGCTGGCATGCAGATGAGAGACTCTGCTATCAGAGCATATCCAAAACAGAGGTCGTGGCATAGTCATTGCAATTTCAGTCTTTTGGTCGGATGTTGCAGGGAAAAAGAGCCAGAAACACTTGAGCGTTGGGAAACCTCAGATTGACCGTGGTAACTTGGATTGGGCGGACATTTGCCAAGCTTTTTGGATGAAAACCAAACCACTTCTTTAGTTTGAGAAGCCTTGAGATTCCATGGCAACTCAAAAATCACAACTTCCTGCAATTTTTGGCCGTCGCCGCAGATTCCATATACATCCATTGAATGCAGGAAATGGAACGCTACCCAACATTGATGTCTATATTCTGTAAGACCCCCCTGTTTCAGTTTTAGGTTGTAGGCGCTCCCTGGAACAGCCAAGTGCTGGGAACAACCGACCTTTTCCTTTCGCAAAGCGGATTTTTGCAGATTTAGGCTTGGAACGACAAGAAGCCAAGCAAGGCAGAAAGAGGTGTACTGCTCTGAACCAACGGTGTAGCGAAAGTTCAGCAAATGATCGCAAATGCCTTCATTTCCAAGCTTCCGGAAATGGTTTGTTCCGTTTCAAAATTCTGCCTACTGCAATATCTAGAGACCTCTCCAACATTTGCCATGGTTGAAACTTGGCAGACATAAATACAATTACTACAATTACATACACATGCAATACGAGTAGCACGCGAGACTGCCAATGAATCTGTGGCTGTTTTTGTGGGCTGCGGGTGATGTAGATTCCAACTTTTGATCCTTTAACTCACAGGAGAGGAAAAAGAAGATTGGGACACCTGGGCAAGCGATGAGGACCGGTAGTGTGCTCATGTGGCAAGACGTAGCTGGTTTTCGAAATTAAATTGATCCGAATAAATTGATCCGAATCTCGGCATGAATTGAGTTTTTGATATTCAACTACTAGGATAGCTTCCGTGTGGTCTCCACAATGAATCGAACCCGCATGTAGGGTTTTTGCAGTGGATGTCAAAGATTGAGGACCCAGATTTCGCAACGGGCCTTGATGAATCTTATGTTCTCCTTCACGCTGCCTGTTTGTACAGGAGGATTTGAGCCCCGTGTTGGGCTACCGCATGAATTCTGCTGGAGGTTGAAAAACAAATCTGGATGCGGCTCTGCAATCCTGTGTGGGCGGCTTCTTGGAAAGTTTGAGATACTCTTGACTACTATATATACACTGTATACCGTCGTAAAACTGTCTTTAGAGTGTTGGACAGACAGCCATGGTGCTGAAATGAGCTGGCTTGTTCCTGGATCGTGGTATTAGAAGAAATGCAGATCCTCAGAACCATGATATGCTCTTGCACTTGAATAATTCTCAATGTTTGAACTGTATCTATATCAAGTCCAGGATTCACGAGTGCTTGCAAGACATCAAGTACTGTGACTACTGAGGCCGCATGACTATGCTGTCTTTGTGTCCGTCTTCGACATTCTTCTGTGGGCGGTGTGACTCTTAAATGTTGTTTTTCCCACTTGTGGTTCTTTTTCCCATCTATGCTCTCTCATCAGGCTCGCAACGCCAAACCTGGCCCAGTTATATAAAACACACACCAGCAGTCATTCTTGAGGACAGACACTCTTTGTGCAGCCACAAGAAGCACATTTGCGTGTACCGTCCTCCTAAAGTTGACCTTACATGCAAGTTTCACACCCTGCACGCCAAAGCCACCAGGTCTTCATGTCTGCCGCAACTTGGCAACAAAGCTGTGATTGAGTTTGGAATTGGAAGCTCCACAACATTATCAATGGTCATATTGTTGATGGTTGTCCGATGCTAGAATAAGCACTGAATGGAATGAATAGAGCCAATCAGATTGAATTGGCCCTTAATATAGTGGCAGCCATTTCTTATATTATCATCCCATATCATATGATCCCTTGATATCTTCAACTAGAAAGTGAAAACTTGCGACACAGAATCATTGACAATCCTTTACGACTCCCAAGGCTGGGAAGATTGGAGGCGTTGCTGGGCAGTCCCACAAAAGACATCGAAGGTATGCTGCGAATGTCAATGAAAACTCCTTTGCTGCACTTGAATCATCCACTAAAGTTTGAAATAGGTAAAATAGGCACTGTTCACCAAACAAATCATCTTACTTGTACAAGTAGCCTAAGTAGCCCACAAAAAGCAATGCCGCATTTTGGCAGACTAGAAACAGGAACCTCATGGGGTGGATTGACCTGACCCATGGCTGCATAAATTTATATAGAGATTACAAATACCATGCATTTTTTTGAGATTTTTTACAGCAACAATCATTGGAATCATTGGAGAACATAGAAACATATAGAAACTCTGTGTTTTCAGGATGCTCTTGGGTCAAAGTCAAGTGCAATGGCTCCTGCCAGGTGCCGTTCGGCATAGCGTACCCAAGCGCGGCCTGCTACGCGCGGCCTGCGCTGATCAACTGGGCGCGGAGGCCCCAGAGGGGAAGGGCATCGCGGCACCAGATGTTTCGACTGGGGAACATGTTCAATGGCCGTCAATGGCCACCTTAGCACCCATCTGTTATGATTTGTCAGGATGTTCATGGTTTTTGTGCTGTTCTTCTCCATTTCTCATTGTTTGGACTTCTGATCTCTTATTTTCTGCAAGATCAACGAAAGGAACATGAAACGCGACGTCATCGCGACGTCAAATCATTGGGACTTTTTCTGCCTCCCGTCTTTGAAGACTAGGATGATCATGCATGTCAACATTGAGGAGCACCTTCTTTACCGCATGTGACGTGTTTTGAAAGAGAAGTCCCTAGTTCATGTTGTTCCCGAGCCTGTCAGAGTATTCATCGCTTGTTCTGAATCTTGTTTCTATCGCTGATTCAAAGTAGGATATTCGAATGAATGGTGAGCAATACGTCCCATGGGACAAGAGGGCAAGATACCATTTCTTTCCCACATGTACAGTTCACAAAAATGTAATCATCTTTTCACACAAATTGTTTGGAAACGTGACAGACGTGACCTCTTTGGACAAGTCTTTCAGCTGTGAAGCCTTTGGCCGAAAAAAAGTGATACCAAGGTACGTTGCTGGCCAGCCTTGGTGCCACACACGTACCTGGCCAGATGCAGGTTCGGGCTACACGGCTACTCAGTGGCCCCATGTTTGGGAGACATCAAAAACAGACTTGGAGGCTTTGAAGAGAGTGGATGTTCGTGAGATGTCCAGGTGCTTTTAAATCAGTCCGTACTCCCACTGACGATGCTACTGCCCTGAGCTCAAGACGTCGAACTTGCCAAGCCACAAATCTGCAGATCTTCTGGTCTCACTTTGAAGCATTGACTCAGAAGGTTCCCCTGAAGAAGGGGAATTGCGGCATCAGCATCACGAATCTCTCTAGTTTCTCTTGTTCTTGTTGTTCTTATCTCCATAGACTCTGAGATAAGATTCATCTTTCTTGTGTTTCAGGTCCTTGGGGCTTGGCCGCCGGTATGTTGTGCAGCATTTTATTGGTGCCGCACTAGTTCTGGCAGGCCCAGGGGCCCAGCGTTTTTGACGTTAGCCAGGAATTCGAAATATCGGATGGAAAACTTGAAAGTTGCAAAAACCATTACCAGAAGATATATTATTCTATTTATTAACTATATTATATATTATTCTATTTATTAACTAAGGAAATTCGAATTAAAACAAAGCATATATAATTATAACTTATAACCACGTATAGTCATATAGATAATTCACTACAACAAACCCCAAATTAAACATACAATGACTTACTATTTGTTCCACATATAAAGAAAATCTGTGATTTATTCTTCAGCTGTTCTCTTGACGATTCATCGTGCAATTGATGGATTTTGTCCACAGAAGACCCCAACCACATATTTGTGACACCCGCCTTGCCTCCACGTGAGCCAAAAGCTTAAAAAAGGTGCAGGCGCCGCTGTGCAGAGGTGGCCTGGCTTTCTTGAGGAGCTCTATGGGTCTCGTTGATGTTTGTTTCGAGGTTTTGAATGGTTTTAATATCTACCTTTGATACAGTATATTGGGGAGATTATCCATGATGGGACTCACCTTGAAGCGAACTGTTTATTTTTTTTGGGGGAGTTTTCAACAGGTTGCCGTTCCACTGCTCTGCAGACGGCAGGAGAAGAACCACCTCTTCTGGAGTAGCCTGATGATCTTCTGCCTTGCGCAGGCGGGGGTTCAGCAGTCCTGCATTCAGCTGCCATGCGCCGGGCCTCGCTGGCCTCGCCAGGTTGCTGTTGCGTCATCGACTTTGATCAAAGAGGCTCCGAACTTGGATGAAAGCAGCTGAAATTCCTGGATCGCTTTAGATGGGAATTTCCAAGTGCGCTAGTTTCCAGCTTATCTGACTTATGACTTGAGCCTTTTTCATGAGCGTTGATTTTTCAGCCAGTGCTGCAAGATGTCAACAGAGACGTCCACTAGTAGTTATGCAATGTACAGGAAACCCAAGACGCAGGTTCAAGTACTGATTCAAGTATTCAAGGATGATTGTGCCGAATGGATCCCGGTTTGAATCCTCTTGCCCAACATCCTTTGGACAGTCTCTGAGTCACCACATTTATGTATTCTGAATCACAAAATTGACAAAAACTGCTGCTCCGGCTACCTTTGATAGCCTTTGAAGCCTTTGATTTTAATGGTTGAGGTACTGCTGACACGAACCAGCAGGCAGATTTGGGAACGGATGCGGTGCAGCGACAGTTTGAAGAATCAGCGGTCTTTCCACTTGATCTAGGGTCTTACTCAAAAAACTGATGTCTTGAAATCCACTTCTTAGCACCAGCCCTTAGACCGAAAGAGGTTGTCCTTAGCACACGCTGGTTGAGAAATTTCTTTATATATACATACTATACTCGTATAATATATAAATATATAATTATATAATATATAGAATGGTAATTGATGACATTTTGCAGGCAAGGGTAAAACCGAGAGGTGTGGCAGCACCTCTTGAGACAACCAATCTGTGCCTTCTCCTGCCTGACGCCAGTAATGACTTGACTGAAAGCATGGCCGTGGGTGTGGCAATTGCATGGAGGCCGTCAACTTGAAGCGGAGCGCAGGAGCGTGCCATATTTTTCCAGTTCGTTTGATCCCCCCAGTCGCTAAAGCCTGTCCTGGGTAAAGGCCAACAAAGAAAG